AGATGTGTCGCACTTTGTTAAAGTAAAAAATCAACACTGAATTAGAGAGTAAGTTGACAAGAGGACGCGTTAGGAAATCGTTAGGAATCCCAATGAGGAACAGGCAACAGGCAACTAAGTCTGCCTCTGAAGTGATATTGCTGGTTTAGTGCAGCCGAGGTGAACAGTTCATGAGATTTCGTAGACAAGCTTTCAGTAAAAAAGTGAGCTGAATAGCATTACAATTGTCTTAGCATGTCTAGAGTGAGGCTTGGAAGATTGGAAGATAAGAGGTTTGGGTACTTTTTCGCATGTTATAAGGGTCATCCCAGAATTCTTCGGAGGAATTGATGAAAACTCCCGAATAAAAAGACTGACTCTGATCACGTCCTCTGAAAAACTCTTTGGGGTGGTCTAAAATTTCGCCGAACTTATGAATGCATTCTTCATGAAGTAACTCGAACTTTTCACCCAAAGAGCAATATTAGAAAGGAAAACTACGCTACAAGTACATGTCCTCCACTTACATACAGCACAAGTTAAGGGGATTCGAAAACTGTCGGGAACATAAGTTTGCATCGTTATGAAAAGTTTGCATAATGCCTCCGAGAAAATGTAAGCAAAATTTGTTGCACCCTTCAACATTTTTGGCGAGCATTCAAAATATATAGTTGAATTTGCCCTTACCAGTTTCTGTTATCGAGATATGACGACAATTTTCTGCATGTAATATAGTAAAAAGCGCAAAAGATTTTTACGTACTTCCAAAAACCCTGGAACAAACTCGTACCAAACTGATAGGTTCAAAGCCATTAAAGTGACTTGCAGTGAAATTAAGGAACCATAGAAGGGATCTTGAAGTTGTCACATGCGAATACTAGCACTATGCCTTTGAGCAAAGAACTCCTTCGAACTATCTTGGAAGTTTTACCAATTTTAGTACAGTGAAAAAGTAGTATGGGGTTTAATCTCTGCTCCTCCAGTAACTCGATCACTTTGACCGCTTCACCTCAACAACCCGACGATGAAGAACCCGTTGGTCTAGGACGCCATGGAACAGCAGGGCGCATGAATGAAGGAAGAACCAAGAAGAGGCAAAACAACGAAGAGAGGAAATAAGGTAGATGTATGCCAGTAATCATAACTTATAATAACGGGCTAAGGTTGTTTACGTGTTTTTGTGTGTGTGTATGTCTGTGTGTCTGTCTGTAACGAAATTCGTAGAGCGAGTTCCAGCCAACGTCCTGAGCCCAAATTTCGCACATCGCATGCGACCAACATAAGAGCCTACCGTGCAAAGGCACGAGTGGTTTTGTTGGGTGGTTCCCTCAGAAACTGCGCGTCAAACGGAACCACTTGGGTTCTGGCCAGCAAAATTGGTTCAATATCACTACTTTTTGCAAAGTCGGAGATTTGTTTAGCATGCTGATGCGCAAGCCATGGATTTAGTCCAAAAAAAATGGACAAAAGTCCACTACTTCACGAGAACGACGCCAAAAAGAAATGATTGCGTGAATGGTTAATTTGTCATGGTTTTACCTGAGCATTCGAGAAGATTTTTGCACAGAGATGTAGCTTACGTTGCCTACTGTCCTTATGGCAGCTATCAAGCCAGAAAGAGTCTAAAAACATACTCAAATTTGTATTTGTTCTTCTGCGAAAAGTTTCATCCACGCGAAATCACCAATCTCACATGAAAAAGCATTTGGAATGGGTAGTTGTTTACATTTTACTCGCGAAAATCGGTACTCCGCGGTGAGTTTCATTGCCACCATTAGTCAAGAATGAGTAAGGCATATGAAGCAAGACCAGTGCGAGCCTGTGCGAAGCAGAGGTGACGCACTGGTGTAATAATAATGTCAAAATGAAAAATAAATAGAGGGACAGGACAGGATCTCACAGCAGCTCGACTTGAGAAGCCTTACTAGTAAAAGCGAAAATATGTCACTCGAAAACGATTCGCTGACGGCGATGATTGCGCGCGCTGTTCTGGCACGGCCGAACGCGAACGGCGGTGACGAGTGTTGAAGAATGAGCAAACGGTGAAGATTCAGCCGTCGAAAAGTACAAACGGGGCTCGTCTCTCGCTTTCGCTGCATCCTTCGTCGCGGCCACGCTCGGCTGGACGATGGCTGGCTGCGCCGGACGGCCATTGGTGTTTTTGTTGATCGTGGCGCGACAACCACAACATACGCACACAAGTGTCAGAAGTGAAACAGCTGCTCTTAGATACTTAGCGACCATGCAAAAAAACCGAGCGATGCTTGACGAGGTAGTAAAACCTCCTGAGATACTTTACTAAATTGAGTGCAAATACGGAGCCAAAAAAAACCAAAAAGAAACAAGAATGATGTCTAAACAGGCAAATGTAAGTAGTATCTTACAAGAGAAAGATGTTTGGTCAAAGTGGCGTTCTAAAATGGGATGTATACCTTCTTATAGGACGTAAAAAGTTGAATCTAAATCGGTTATCCTCATCTGCGAGTGTCTATGGACGAGGAGTTATGCGTATTTACCAGAGCAAAAGATTTGAAGCTAGCTTATGATAAAATCAGTTTTTGAAACTTTTCCTGGCACTCGAATGGAGCAGCGGAATGTGGAAATATTCTATTTGAGAGTAACTATTGCATAAAGCACTCCATAAATTATTATTACTCCATTTAAACGCTAGGAAAAATGCTACGACTGTTTTTATACTATCTGCTCATACAATTTTTTTCTACAACAAATTCTCATGACTCCTAGTGCAGTAAAGCTCCGCAGGTAAGAAAGACGGATTTGAATTGGTATGAACCCATCTCCATAGGCCACTTCGACTGATCATCCTTCCCTTATTAGTTACAGCGATTGTATCTCTAAGCAAATTCTTAAGTTCATAAGTTCTGTGGATCTTCTTGCACTGATTTCTCAAATCTGTGTGGGCTAGTGTTACCCAATTTCACTTTACTTTCTTCTTTTTCCTACGATACGCGATCTTCGTTCACTACTGAGAAGTTCCATTGAGATCGTATCTTTTCGTATAGTGAAAGGGAATAGGAAATTAGACTATAAGAAGTGAAACAGCTGCTCCTAGATGCTCAGAGACCATGCAAAAAAAACCGAGTGATGCTTGACGAGGTAGTAAGACTTCTCGAATCACTCTAGCTAGTCAATTCTATAAGAATTGGCCATCAAAACGCCAACGGAATTATGAGTTGAACCAAGTACGTTTGAGTAGTATCATTTCCTGCGCCGTAACTGTTTGCGGAATTCTAGGTGTTCGGCCCTCTTAGTACAAATTCTGATTGTGAGATTTCTTTAGTTGTTCCTTGGAGTGTGACATTTACCTTTTCAGCACAGGTCCACTAATGAGTAGTAACGCCATTATTTTCCCATTCTGTCCTACTTCAATGAAGTGAAGGATTTTTTGGCTGTGATCGGAAGAGAATGCAAAATGTCAACTCTAATGCGGGTCACTAATGTTACATCTTTGAGAATAAGGGAGTTTCCGGTCTTTATGGACAACGAAGTTGAAGAATCACAAAAGTCACAGGTGTCACAAAAGTCACAGGACTCACAATAATCACAGGAATGCAGAAATCACAGGATTTGCAGGAATCATATAGAAACAGTCATAGAAATTGCAAGGATTACAAAAATAGTATGGCAGAACCCTCAGCAAATCATTTCCCGGAATCACACATCCAGTCTACTTTGAGACCCGTACCGCCTATATGAGAAACCTCTCATCAAATTCGTCATTCAATCCTCATTATTTTCTAGTGCAGTATAACTTCACCTCTGTTTACAAACGTTCGTTAAATATGAATACAGCGAAAAAATTAAAATTAACGTAAAGAAGTAGCAAAAATAAAGAATGGGTCAAACCTGCAAGCAAAGCTCCCCGATCAATCTTATGGAGTGCCAGCCCTCGGGTTATTTTATTTCTTCAGGCATCTTGGATAAATTTCATTCCTCCTATAGTTATAGGAATGAAAGCTATAGTAGGGGCAATAACGCTGTTGAAAATGCGATAAAAGAACGTTTTGTTCCCGTTCTCCCCCGGCCTGTCCTCAACAAAATTCTCTCAGACTATCGGAAGATGATTAATCGCTTGATAGTTCGATGCATTCTCCAACAAATACGTCTATGAATTCTCGACAAAACACTATAGTTTTTCCAGAACTATACACTTGGATAGATTTATTGCCATTGTCAGCAGATATCAAAGCAATGTTTTACCAGGGCTTTTCTTTCATTGAACAAAAGGAAGGTACGTGTAACCTTGAAGCATTAGGTTTCGCGAAAATTAAACAAACCACATGAACTGGCTTCTTTGAAGTGCGAAGAACTCCAATCAAATGTAATCATGGCTTTTAACATATGTGCGGTGCATGACTGAGTACGAAATTGGTTTATGAAGAAAGAAACCTTTTTGATTCCAAGATGTTTTTGGTGAGAAGATGCGTAAAATGTGATACCTATGATATCAACTGAAAGCGTTCCGTAAACCATATTTGATTTGTCATATAATTATTAGTTTTTGGGCTAAAAACTTTGGGCGGATATGGTAGTTCCCTAGAAACCTTCGAGTTCTTCTTTTCAAAATGCCAGGGAACAAATAGCAATGAACAGAGGATACGATTTAATAAAATAAATAATCATTTAAATATTACTTATCCTTCTGGCTTACTTCATCAAGAGAATCGGTAGAAGGAAAGATGAGGGAAAGAGCAAAAAGATCTTTAGAAAGTATTTATGGTAAAAAAGCTTCGAGATAGAGCTCAGGCCTACCTAACACTTTTTTCAAGAATGACGGCAGAAATAAAGATGAGTAGTCCTAGTGATACTCCATGTATCACTATTCGAAGGATGTCTTCTACCATAGAAATTTAGAAATACTCACGCTCTTTTCCCTTTTGGGAGGAAAGTAAGTAACATTATAGGGAAGAAGTTGTACCGAGAAGACGACATATGGCTTCAACTAGACAGCGTTGGGAAGCAGCTGACTGCAGCAGTAAGCAAGAATAGATCGAACCCACTTCTTCAAGTGCAACTGTCCAGATTGAAAGGCAGCAATAAAATTAATTATACTGCTAGGGTGCTGGGTAATGGAGAAATCTGCAAAAAAAGTGGGGAGGCGCAAACGAAATTGAATTGCATGCACAGCTGTAGTCGATTGACTTTCTAAAGAGGTAACTCTCACATGAGAAGAACGAGACGCCTTAGGAGAAAATTGTATTAGTGGATGGAAACACAGAACATCATAAAGTGCTTTAAGATAAGATTGAGGAATGAGCCCTTTCAAACTAAAATGCAGAAAATCAATCTATGCCATGTCGAGCGTTCCGAATGTTGCCTAAAACACATGTGGATGCGGAAAAGATAAACATGTGGACGATGGCCGTGGGAACATTCGAAATGTTCATAGCGGAGAGGCCAACGGAACAATCCGAAACCATGGAAAAAAGAAACTTTGAGAGATACCTCACAAAGGGAAGTATAAATTATTAGAAAATGTTTATTTTAACAAATTGCTATCCTCTAAAATAAATCTTCAGTGGGGTCAGGTCAGCTAGCCTTACCCTGCGGGCTCGTTGACATCCGAAAATGGGGCATGTTGAATTTTAGAGTGTATGTGACATTCTTGTGATCGTTTTTTGTAATCAAATTACTTTCATTCAGCTTTGCAAGCTGGGTTTAGAGCTTCTATTTTGTTTTTCCATCCATATTTTCTTTTATCTTCTCTTGAGGCTGAGGACTGGCTGGTCTCATTTTGGACTTTCTTCTACTTCTTTTACATTCTGGTGCACCTCGAGTGTATTTATAAAATATAAAATATAAATTTTTTTCTAAATTAAAGATATCATCCAGCTGGAAAAATTCCTCGAAATCTTCGATAGAAGTGATTAGGCATTCAATTATGTGAGGAAGTGTCCGTGAATAATGAGTATCGTGGTCAAATGTGCACCTTTGAAATCATACATCAACTAAACGTTTGTTATAATTATCGAGGCGTTTCCATTCTTAGAGTTAAGCATTAAGAGAGCTTGGAAGAGAATTTTATAAGTGTTTGCCTTCTAAGAAAAATGAAGGTCCAGAAGAAAGGGTTGATTTCTTGAAATATTGGAACGCAGAATGGATTTGTTAGAGGAGAGCTAACAAGGCGGTAAAAACTGCAATACATATTAGCTAATTCAACCAGAATGGAGTCAATTTAGTGTACACATCATTTCTACGAAAAAACACCCGAGTTTTAGAAGTGGCTGAAGGATGTCATTTTTTCGTACTTCTTTCGACAAGAAACAATTTTTGTCTAATAAACGCTTTGTCATTCACAAGGCCAGACTCAAAAAAATTGAAAAGGGGAGAAACTAAGCATCTTCGCTCATCATTTTTCTTAAAATCACCGACTTCTTTCGAAAATAAATTGGAATCATGTACCAGCTTTGTACTTGCTCGGGGTGAATCCAATCTTTTGACCAAAGTTGTTCTAGTTACTGTTTGTCAAAAGGAAAAGTGATTAGATTTTTGCTCCGCCACAAAAAGCGAAAGAATCAGGAGTGAAGGGAATTTTTGGCGAGACTGCTCACGAGACATTTGAATAAAAGGGAATTTTGGTGTTGGCCTCTTATTTATCAAAGCGCATACTGGATTTGAAGTTTTCTATAAGAAAATTTGGAAAATGTTGAGTTACCTAGACCAAGAAACGTCTTACAGAGTAGCATCATTGCGTTTCTCTCACAAAATCAGAATAGTTTTCATTGTTCTTTAGGCTTGTGCCAGCAAGCTGAAAAAATGTGGTGCTAAGAAAGTGGGAGTTTACGGAAGCAGCCGAGCAAAAGAACTAGAAAACAGTCCTAGTTATAGATCCATTTCATGTGTGAGAAAAATAAATGTGAATTATTGGTAGCACTCTAAGGTTTTATGAAAAATAAGTAGCACTTTCTACTTTTGGCAGTTGCAAGGAAGAGTAACTTCATAAACAAGAGCTTTCTGCACCTGTTGAGACGCTTGTCTCGTGATCGAATCAAAAAAGTAGAAAATGAGAAAAACGCAGGAACAGGCGGCAAAGGCCGCTTCTGGTAACGAAAATATCGGGGTTTTGGATGTCTTCGCTCTTTAATTACTCTCTCCGCGCTTCTAATTACATGGTTCAAACTACGCCCTTTTTTTCAACCATCGGCGCGAAGTGGGGGACGAAATCGTTTTCAAACTAATAATCATAGACTATTCTGAAACTTCTTACAAGGTAAGAGCGAAAACCCTTCGCTGCCGCCTAGGCTGTAGGCCACAAGGCTGCGAACTTATGTGCTTTACTTATGTGCTCCATACACACACTATAGTGTGGTAGATTCGACTGTTCACACAATGTTTTTGTATTGCCGACAACACTTGCGCGTAGGAAAAAGTTATGGAGTGCAGAATGTGAAAATGTACTTTCTATGGGTTTTTATAGAATGTTGTCGGCGCGTCACAAGCACGGCAGTTGTCGTACAAATATTGTCGGCACCGCGAAACTATGACGACCGTCAAATGGCTAGACTATAATCCATACTGCCCGTGGTCGGTCAGAGAAATTATTCTGGACTGGCTACAGAAGAATGGAAGGGTAGCGTCAACCGCCTTTCGAAAAAGAAGTTTATGAAAGCGTCTCGGATTTCGCCCCCAGACGCTACGCACCCGAAATCTTATCCTACAAAGATAAAATACATCAGGCTTCTAGAATCTTTCAATACAAATTGTTTACGAGTACAAAGAAGTCACTAACACAGTTCTGTAGCTTACTTAAATTTTCAAATAAGTTTGAATCTTCTGAGTGATTTGTTTAGCAGCGTCCAAGATTGGTACAGATATTTATTCCACAATAAACAGACTGACGTTCCGGCATATAAAAGTAATGCAGTACATTTTTTGACATAAGTGGTCTGCACCCACCAAATCTATTATCTGTTAAGGTGAGCACTAGCTTAATCTTGCGTTTTGGTTGATACTGTTGCTTGTCTAGAGGGATGGTTTTCTCTGTAGTCGATAAGGTATTTGATCGGATAGTTCACTGGTGTTTTCGACTTTTCAGACTCTGAAGAAGGCGATTGCAGAAACGTCAGTCTGTTTATTGTGGATTAAATATCTGTGCCAATCTTGGACGCTGCTAAACAAATCAGTCAGAAGATTAAAACTATGCCAAGATTTATGGATAGTCGAACATGGATTCTTTCAAAAAAGTCTTTGTCGAAAAGTCTTTGTCAGAAACGACAACCTTACATGGCCTTTCATATCTACTGTGTACCTACGAAGTGATTGGCATATAACAAACTCAGAACGAACCCATTGTAGTAGTTCATTCTATAAAAAGTTCGCATTTCAATTTTTTCATAAAAGTCAGTTGTTTGAGTCCTGGACTAAACAAAACTTTTTGTAAAATTCAAAATTTATTCCAGCAAGGGCAGCTTCGTCGGGTCAAAAAAGGAGATCAACTATTCTTGGAAAAATTTTGTCAGGGACTAGGCTTTACTTTGTACAAGCCAGGAAAATTCATTAGGTGTTATTAGCAAAAAGTTTTTTTTGACGATCTTGAGTCCATTGAAGACTCGTACTGAACATAGGAAGTTCAAGTGAAGGTATGAACAAAGCAGCGCTAGGGATAGAAAGGACAGGAAGAATAGAATGTAACTATGGAGCAACATAATAAGTAGAAATACATAGTTTTTTCCTTGAATTTTTCTCTTACTGATTTTCTACAAGCATTAAGTGTGAAAATGCATTTTTTCCATACTTGGTTCCACTCAGACCAGCGCACTTGTTCAACATTAACATCTACAAGTACTCTGATTAGGAACCACGCTATTAACGACACTTCCGAAAAAAAGAAACCAACATTTGGCTCCTCGTCACACTAATTGGATTATGAACCACTTCTTGAAGTCTAGCTATAGCAAGCCTGGAACAACTTAAGTAGTAGGACCTGACGAGTGAGACCGCGATGGCAGAATGTGGAATCCTTGTCATAATGTAAGAATCGCTAATGAGTTCCAGTTTGTACAAATGCATTGGTGGAACCATGAAATGAGTGGATTTTAACAGAAGAAATGGTGCAATTGCTGTACGAACCAGTATAAAACTAGTAGCACGAGAAATATGAAATTAGTAGCACAATGCATGGCAAGAAAGTGACGATTTGCGTCTCAAAGTACAAATCTACATTGGCACATTTATAAAAACACGCATCTAGGGTCCTGGCAAGATGACGTGGTATAATTTGGAAAATAATTATCGCTGAGTGAAATTTAAGAGAAATGAATGTTTGGACATATTTAAAAAAGCAGGGAGCAAAAGTAATAATATACTTTCTGATTTCTAGAACAACTATTGTGCGAAAAATAGAAGAGTGGTGAGAGCAAAAAAAAAGAACAAAAAGTGAACAAGGATGAAGGCAAATGAGAAACAAACGTGCATTAGATATAATGCATTTCGACTTCGATTATGTACATATCAAAAAAAAGTTACTGTACCGGAAGATAGTGAAAATATTACCAAAGAAAAACATGACATAAGAAGCGAAGAGACAGCTGCCGTTACTACCCCTTTAAGTTGAAAAAAATTCTTATTTCAATTCAGATTTGTCTCTCCAGGGACTTGACAAACAACATCGCTGAGCCAAATGATCCGTTTTTATGTGAAAGGCAAAGCGGTGAAGGTCATCGTCATCGAGAGATCTCGGCAACTGATAAAATGAAATGGATAACATTTACGCTGGACAGAAATAATGGCTTACTTGAGTGCATCTAGAGCGCATAAACTAAATGAAAGAGTCTGAGCTTTTCATAAGACAAAAATGTCGGAAAGTATTTCGCCCTAGCAGTGTTTTAGAACGTATACAATGCCAAATTCATTAATAGCTGGCAAAATGAATACAAAAATTCCAAATTATGATGATAATAGACATAGATAATATGAAGCTTATGGATGAGTTTTGCTCAAAGACAGATCACGACTTCCTTCAGATTATTGCTATTCTTGTTATCTTCTTTGCTCAATTTCCGAATTTTCGTCCTCCTTTTCAAGGTTTGGACAGGAAGCGTCCGTCAAAAGCTTACATTGAAGTAGAAGAGTTTAAGCAAT